GTGTGTATGAGTGTGAGTTTGTGTGAGAGTGAATGTGTGTATGAGTGCAAGTATAAGTGTGAGTTTGCGTGAGTGTGAGTGTGAGAGCGTGTATAAGTGTGAGTTTGTGCGAGTGCGTGTATGAGTGTGAGTTTGTGTGAGTGTGTGTACGAGTGTGAGTTTGTGTGAGTGTGTGTACGAGTGTGAGTTTGTGTGAGTGTGTGCGTGTATGAGTGTGAGTTTGAGTGAGTGTGACAGCGTGTGTGAGTGTGAGTTTGTGTGAGAGTGTGTGCGTATATGAGTGTGAGTTTGTGGGAGTGTGAGAGTGTGTATGAGTGTGAGTTTGTGTGAGTGTGTGTATGAGTGTGAGTTTGTGTGAGTTTGTGTGAGTTTGTATGAATGTGTGTATGGGTGTGAGTTTGTGTATGAGTGTGAGTTTGTGTGAGTGAGTTTGTGTATGAGTGTGTATATGAGTGTGAATTTGAATGAGTGTGTGTATGAGTGTGAGTTTGTGTGAGAGTGAATGTGTGTGTGAGAGTGAATGTGTGTATGAGAGAGTGTGTGTATGAGTGTGAGTTTGTGTTTGTGTATGAGTGTGAGTTTGTGTATGAGTGTGAGAGCGTGTATGAGTGTGAGTTTGTGTGAGTGCGTGTATGAGTGTAAATTTGAGTGAGTGTGTGTATGAGTGTGAGTTTGTGTGAGTGAATGTGTGTATGAGTGTGAGTGCAAGTATAAGTGTGAGTTTGCGTGAGTGTGAGTGTGAGAGCGTGTATAAGTGTGAGTTTGTGGGAGTGCGTGTATGAATGTGAGTTTGTGTGAGTGCGTGTATGAGTGTAAATTTGAGTGAGTGTGTGTATGAGTGTGAGTTTGTGTGAGAGTGAATGTGTGTATGAGTGCAAGTATAAGTGTGAGTTTGCGTGAGTGTGAGTGTGAGAGCGTGTATAAGTGTGAGTTTGTGTGAGTGCGTGTATGAGTGTGAGTTTGTGTGAGTGCGTGTATGAGTGTGAGTTTGAATGAGTGTGTGTACGAGTGTGAGTTTGTGTGAGTGAGTGCGTGTATGACTGAGTTTGTGTGAGTGGGACAGCGTGTGTGAGTGTAAGTTTGTGTGAGTGTGTATATGAGTGTGAGTTTGTGTGAGTGTGAGTTTGTGGGAGTGTGAGAGTGTGTGTGAGTTTGTGTGAGTGCGTGCGTGTATGAGTGTGAGTTTGTGTGAG